GTGTTGTCACCCTTAGATACAGTATCTGCTCATCAGCTGTTTATCAGCTGTTTATTAAACAGACATTAGGTTGATGGAGACCTAATGCTGGATATACTGTGCAGTTTTAATTTGATTTATAACATGACGTGTTATGTTACGATGGGTTACGCACCTGGAATAATTTCATATGTTGCATTGTTCAAACTATTATTGAACATTATTAGGTTACGCGATTTGAATTTAGTGTGAGAATAATGGTTTTGAACCCAGTATATCCATAACAATTTGTAGAGTTAGGATTGCTTTCCCATACCGATGTTTAATCTCACTGTGTACGAAATTCTATTGTCATTGACTATAAAATTACGCTTTTATAATTCTTTTATTGCATTTTGTAAATTCTATGTACTCTAATACGAGCTATGTCTGTCTGTCTGTCTGTAATATATATCTCGAAAACCAGCGGAAGGATTATTTACCTAATTTTGAGGGGGGGGGTTGTAATTTGAAAAACTCTTTGGATTTTCTGGATGGTTTGGGACCGAGACGAATCTCCACAAAAATTTCAGATCCCTAGCTATTCTAGAAGTGGGTAAACATTTGTATACCTGATCAGTGAGTCAGTGAGTTACACAAGCGGCTGTGTATCCCGTAGTATGTGCACGAGTGGTCAGATTCTGTATACACTCCTTTTTGCATTCGCAGTCATTATCACTATAAGTAAAGTACATTGATAAACACATTGTTCAGTTTTAGTTTGAATAATGTGTCACTAATACAGACAATTTTGAACAAAATAAAATTTATTTGATTTGATTATGTAAATTCTTTTACATGATTTTAAGGTTCAAAGTCCTGACTTGGAGTCTATCAACAACTCCCCATAGACCAGAACATGTTCCTCGCTAGCTGTGTGTCCCTTGAGACTCCAAGTGTCCTCGCGTCATAAACACTACACCTTCCATTAACACGTCCTGCTAGGCCCCGTCCATTCACTCCCAGGATCACCCAGGATGCACTTCAAGGAACATTGTCCACTTTTTGTCAAATTACATGATTTATTGAGGTTATTGCAGGTGATTCATTCACAAGAATTTCGAGGTGCAAATGAAAGTTGTGACGTACCTTTCTCGCCAAGGTGGTCGGTTTTTGTGACGGTGGGATTTCTCCGGGGTGTAAAATGTGCGAAAAGTGCAGTAAAGTTTGCATAGTTTGACACCGTGTGACGTGACCGTAATAAAATGTCACAGAGAAATACAGTTGTGGCAAGTAGAAAGGTAAAAACTGCAACGTTTACGTAGGAACTTGTAAATGCTGGGCTTTTTGTTAAATTCTGCATGGTAATATTATAGTTGGTACATAATAATTGTAAGTAATATCACTTACAATTAAAAATTAGATGGATGGATGTACTAGAGAATAGAAGAACACACGTTAAATCAAAGGGATTTGGGAATTTTCACATAGATATTGGGGAAATCTAGTGACTACACTTCATAAAATGCATTCAGGTCCACACGACTAAAATCTATTGTTTTATCAACGTCGCAAATTTTCTTTTGCACACTTTTAAAAGCTACGAATGAAATTTATAGGGGAAAACAAGGGTTGATAGTAGGCGTGGTATTATTATTATTATTACATTTTGTGGCATTTCTTTATGAATAGGAATGCAATGCTATTTCACCAACAACACAATTATTTACACCTAAATAAATGTTCCCAGACACAATTTTCCTTATGTGCTTTAAAGGCACGAGGAACGCGAGAAAGTAGTCCAGTATGAACATATTAAATTGAAAACATCGTCCTATTTTAGCCTGATTTTTCGGAAAATGTATTAATATTGCTAATTATAAATTGTTCTATTTCCAATACATCTTGAACATATTAAATTGAAAACATCGTCCTATTATAGCCTAATTTTTCGGAAAATGTATTAATCTTGCTAATTATAAATTGGTCTATTTCCAATACATCTTGAACATATTAAATTGAAAACATCGTCCTAATTTAGCCTGATTTTTCGGAAAATGTATTAATCTTGCTAATTATAAATTGGTCTATTTCCAATACATTTTGAACATATTAAATTGAAAACATCGTCCTATTATAGCCTGATTTTTCGGAAAATGTATTAATCTTGCTAATTATAAATTGGTCTATTTCCAATACATCTTGAACATATTAAATTGAAATCACCGTCCTATTTTAGCCAGATTTTTTGGAAAATGTATTAATCCTGCTAATTATAAATTGGTCTATTTCCAATACATCTTAAACATATTAAATCGAAAACATCGTCCTATTTTAGCCTGATTTTTCGAAAAATGTATTAATCTTGCTAATTATAATTGGTCTATTTCCGATACATCTTGAACATATTAAATTGGTTATACTTTTTACCAACAACTTTGATCTCTCGTAACTTCTCGTGTGAAATGCCACTGGCGTAGAAAAAAAAATAAAAAAAAAAATTAACTCAAAAACCGTATAAACTCGCTTACCCTGCAAGTTTGCTGTAAAAAAGGAATTAAAAAGACTTTCCACATACATTCGCCAAACTATTTCCCACTGGAGTGCAAAAGTTGGATAAAAATTAGGATCTTTACAGTGAACGAGAAACGCAATGAGAATGATTTCATGCATTATCAGAGAGGACATTATACAAAGTGTAGACCGCGAAGTAACAATAGTCTAGCCGTGGAGACCACCAATTAGACGTAATGATGCATGAGATATTTTTGGTGGGAGACAGGTGCATGTCATGTCTAGGCTTGCCGCCAAAACACAGCTGTGATTCAACGCGGTAGAGACATTGAACTTGTTGAAAGCTTGTTAAATTTACGCTCTTTTAATTTCGCATTCACACAGTTTATTTTAAAGTAACGAAGGTATGACTTACGTTGGTACCTTCATCCATTAGTTATGAAGATGTAAATTCGTATTCATACCTTAATGAAGTCGATATTCGTTATAGAAACATACCATTTTCCGCAGGCCTCTGGTTGGTTTTTAATATTAGTAGTTTATTTATTCTCTACGGTAAACACCATTTTACAAACAATACATTAATTTACAAAGTGCAGACATGAAAGTGAAACTAGCAAGCAGACAGTAGCAAAGGTAATTCTATAGTAGATTATATCTATGAAAATCAAACATATAGTATAGATAGCGACAGCTGAGCTTTGTAAATGATTTTTGTCTAGCCATAGTTTGTAAATACCTTACTGTAAATAGTTTTATAAGGAAAAATTTATAATTTAAAAATGTACGTTTGTACCATGACTTAGCTAATGCAATATGTATTGTTAATTTTAGCTAAATAAAATGATTTGATTTGAGATTTGATTTGATTTGAAACAGTGGTAATATAAATACAAGAAAATATCTGAGCAATGATCCGAGTTGATGCACTTCCGTCTTTGAACTCTTCCAACTTTCTTCCAGAATATGTTGCTGTATCTTCCTATATCGCCACACCTTGAAGTAAGATAGTCGCACTAGTTAGTAGTGAGTCCCACGACTCTTATTCCATGACTTAGCCGATAGTTAAATATCTACACAGCAACCTGTGCGATGCTGTCCTTAGTAACAAGTTATATTTGTTCGAGAAATGATTTTCGAACATGTCTTATAAAGCATATAAGAAAAAGATGGACAAACTAGGCACAGCTAATGTGGCTAATGCCAAAATTTGGAAAATATTAACACACAATCATGTCAATATACAAAATCAACAGCATATTAACACAACATTTTCATCTACACAAACATAGAAAAGCATTGTAGTAGCATTGTGTGTTATCTTTTAAATTAATACTTAATAAACGGGATATATCAGGGGGTGGTAAACGGGAGGGGGGTTTTCAGTCAAGGGGACGTGTTTCTCCATTTTATTTTATTTTATTCCAATTCAATCAATTTCAATTTTACCTTAGCTCTAGTCTTAATTAATCGTTCCTGTTGTTGTTGCCAAGTATCACCACTCATGCCATGTTTTTGTCAAATCTGATTTTTTCCACATTGTATTACTGTATATATCCAAAACTTTCTTCACTGCTTCTAATTTTTATTGTTATCGTTATTCCTTGTCGCTTTTGTTAATTTTGTTATTGTTATTGTTATTCTTATCGTTATTCAAGATTGTTATTTATATAGTATCTATTTACTTATTGCTTGTTAATTGTTATACATTCTATTATGTTCTTGCTGTTACCACTTTACTGTACTTCTTTTACTGTACTGTACCACTTTTAATGTTACATGAATTTTGCCATCTTACAACATTGTATCCATTCTTGTAAACTGGTGTAAACCGTTGGGAAATAAATAAAATAAAATAAAATGACTGCTGGGTAGAGTTTCGAACCATCAAAAATCTACTTCCTTTTCTCATGATCAAACCGATGACATTCTGATCATAAGGTGAGCACTAAATCTACTCAGCTACCCAGGTACTACTACTGTATTTACAGACCATTCTTTACAAATGATTTAATCGTTGTCATTGATAAATATTTGTGAAGTTCGTCATCCCTATTCTCAAAGTTCTATAATTTATTGTTTACTTTTTGACATTTCCCCACCGCAAGGAAGAAACACCATGAAGAATACAGTGAAATACAAAGTCCAAACAGTTCCAGACGAAACATTTTGTTTAGTGATCAACAAAGAGAAAAAATCCGTCTCGACATTTCATTACCGCATCGTCAAATCTGTCAGGAATGTTAGGCCTATGTTCCTGAAATCGGAATCAATTGGAACCAGCTCCGATAACCAGACCGTGTGAATGGGCCCTGGAATTGATTAGAGGACGAGAACCGTCTGGTTTATTTATTTGTACCACGGCGGATAGTTAAAGCTGTTTGGTATTTTAATGGTCCACAGCGCGGGGGGCGGCGCGTGTAGAGGCGTGGCCTCGTCTCCGATTGGTCGACGAGGCCACGCCCCTTCCCCCTCCACCGCGGCGAGTGGGGGGCGCCCAAATCTCCATTAGCCGCCACTTATTGTCGGAATTTCTTAATATATTTTCCGTCGTTGTTGGTCTCGTGCGGTGCGCGTGTGCGTGTGGCCCATGTAGTGCGAGATGTGGTCCTGTGCGCCTTTGGTGCTCGCCCTGATGATTCTCGCTACTGTCGAGGATCTCGTCGTTCGCGGGAGGAGGACCCCTGGCAGGAGTAGGGGGCCCAACTGGTGGTAAGTGGCATGCTGAAACTCTGGTTGCGATTATTAAATAAACGGTACATTGATTATTAAAGTAGTGATTTGTGGCTAAAAACTAAGTAAAAGCTATTAATTTAGGGTGACTTTACAATTTGCAGTAATAAGTGGTAGACGACAATAATTAGTATAATTTACTATAATTATAGTCGTAATACAATTAATAATGTATGATCTGTCAAAATGTCTTTTTGCAACATATTTCTTAAGTTATTTATTGTTGTCATGAATTTTTGGGAACTTTTCTTTCGATATGAAATATTTTGTCATTAGTACACTCATAAAGGTAGTTTACCAGTATACTATAATTCGTAGAAAGAATTTACTTTGTATATTCCTTGAAAAGTGATAAAATACTATATGGTATATTTACTACTTTTTTGTATGTGTCAAATCAACATAATATAGCTTAAAAATTAAAATATGTTATTATGGATGCGCTCTAATTTGGGTTCGAGCCAATTTTTTTTAAGCTAATGCGATTTGTATTGTTAAAAATATACAAATGTAGCATAGCATACAAAAATAAACAAAGTCAATCATTCATCGTTTCAAATTATGTTCTTTTTTAATCTCGTGTAATTAAGATTGACTCTACAATGGTAAAATAAATTGACTTGACATTATATTTTAGATGAACTCATTTTTGTGTATTTCAAATGAGTGATTTGCATGTTCATAACTATTCTTGCACGATTGAAGACAAGATATACCCTACTTGATTGATAATCTAGGTTAACTGGACGAATATGGTAAATCTTTGTTCGGGTAAGTTAAATTTACTCCAAATGTATCATCTATTAAATAATTTATGTGTTTATAAATTGAATAGGCTTAATTCAAAGTCATTTGGACAACCTACCGCTTAGGCTATTTCTACGCTCAATTAATTTCCAACCGTCATCGCGGGTAATCTAGATCCAATTTGACAGGAAGGGACGATATAAACGGATTCGATGTCGTAAGCTATCCAGTTGCGGGAACTGTATTAGGCAAGCGGGCAAACTAGTTTATGTAGGATCAGATGACCTGATAAAGCACAGATCATAGAAGATGTGATAAGGGGACAACAATGGCGAAGCAGCTGCAGATGGTAATCAGCTGAGCAATGTGCAAGCTTCATCGTGGACCATCGTTTGATTGCTTAATTCGTAATTGCGACAATGTGGTGGAAATATATTACTTAACTCTTAATTTATGCACTGTGTTTACATTTGGCAAAGAAACATTACCAGAAAGGCAAGTTAGGTGTGAATTGTCTTTCGATTTTTTTATAATCCGTGTTTAATGATTTGTAATTAAAAGAATGCATTGTATAATGTTTAATTAATGGAGTTTAATTCACGTCTAGAGCGTTCGCTAACATTTTGTAAAAGCAACAACCCGTAAGGCAATAAAAAAAAAAAACGATTTCAAGTTTGACAAGGAGTTCCTTCTGATTCTAAATGATCCGTGAATAAAGCAATAATGCATTGGAAAAGTTCAATTTTTCGCATTCGACGTTGGTCAATGTTTTTCGGGCTAAACTAGTAAGGACATTCGAGAAAGAAGAATTTATATTACATGAGGGTAATTTTTTTATTGTTTAATATTTCAACATTCCAATAATGCAATGGAAAATGTTTATTTAATTACTTGTTTTCGTATACGACGTTTTTTCAGTATTCTTTCTCAAGCTGGACTATTTAGGCAATACAAATAATCACGGTTTCAAGTTATACATGGATGTTTTTGTGACTACATTAAATTGGTAAATGTTTACTTTTTAGTTAAATATTTATTTTACGGTTAAATAGCTTTCATGCGGAACCAAGACACTGAAAAAGAATTACCAGAGCTACACAATCACAGTTAATACAGTGCACAAATGTATTTATTTATTTTTCAAGTTTACACCATTTTACAATCAAATACAGTCAAATATTTTTAGTCATAAGCAAATACAAGACGCAATTTACAATAATACTACATTACTAATGCGATTAATAATAATGCGAAATTGTTCTAAAATAAAGTTAAAGCATGCTATACAAGGAAAAAAACTAACAGACAGGTTGCTCGGACAAGGCAACAGTTTTCACATGTCTATAAGCCATATCGTTTGGGAACGAAGAACAGAATCAGCAAAGTTAAATTACGCAATAGTAACATTGTGATGATAATTCTTTAGAATATGTACACGAAACAAATCCCGTTTATAGGTTTTTTTGCTAGTCGGGTAGGACGATGGCGGATATAAGGAGTTAGCTGGAAGGTGCTAACACAGTGAAAACACTGATAACGCAAAGTAAATAAAAGTTGCGTCAACCTGAATCATCAATTCATCATGGTCCTGGGAAGGGTTGGCATTGACAAGGTGTTTTACTACTTTTGAAAGGAGGGAAATCTTAATTAAATCCTTCTAATTACGTAGATTATCCTTGTTACAGATTAACTAATTTAATTTATTTATTAACCTTTTTTTATGTATGTTTGGTTGATTTTCTACCAAACATATTCTTTATAGCACTATTTTTATTTAAAATAACTATGATGTACAAACCAATTTACTAAATCATCGGAACATGGTTTTTGGATATAAATAATTATTTACTGATTTTGTTAGTTTTATTTTGTTAAATTAGTTTTCCATAACCTACTGTAAAGCTCTTGTTACGATAAATGTGTTCATGTTTCTAACGTATACAACTAAATGTTAATTATATTTTAGTTCATTTAAATTTTTAAAAACTAATGGAATTGCTCAAGCGAATACATCTCAAACTTTTAAAATAAGAGAGGCGAAAATATAATTAGGAGAAATTATAAATTTTTAGCAATTTGCAGCTAATTTATAAACAGTTCATTTACAAACACGTTTTATATTTTTAAGGGTTTGTCACAAGGGGCGTCCTACACCGATGAGTATATTAATCACCGTTAAAAAATCACTAATCTGTTAAAATTATACAATTCAAAATGGAGATGAAAAAAAAATCACAACCCTTCAAGTTTTATATTTCGCTACAAACCAGAAAGACATAACTCTCTTTTCCACTCGACCCTCCAAGAAGAAACTACAAACCCCAGCCATCTACGGCCCATATTGGCCTAGCGGCCTACGGTGCCTCGGTGCTACGGACCGTATAGGGAATCGTATATATAAGGCCTGCGTATGAATAATGTGCGTGGAAGTGACGAACTCAGACAAATAGCGCATGCGAGCTCATTGCCAGTTTGCGCACGCTCCTTGTTTATTAGCGTATTCAATGGTAATACCGGCGAATAAATCGAGAGGGAATCGCTATAAACAGGACGGTGGCGTTTCCATTGGCCGTTTTTCCTCTGTGGTGAAGAGTATGACGTAGGACAACAATCGATAAATCCTGGAGACTGATGGAAACACGTCAAGGAACGGCTTTTTATACTGTTTAATTGTGGATTACGCAGTCTTGAAAAGTGGGCTTGAACGAGTGTCGTGATGGGAATTTTATGTAAATCTCGCAAGATACGGTAAAAAGTCGAAGACGAAAAACACAGTTGCATTTTTGGTTGACATATGCTCAAGGGATTCTCCTTGGAGTGAGATGGCGCAATTTGAATAAGAACGAGTTCTAACATTGGTAACGAAAAAAAATACATCCATGTTAAAGGTGTTTTTATTTCACATCAAGATTTAGGGCTTTTAATATATTAAACGGTTATACTTTCTGTTGGACTTGTAAAGTCGACGACAAAGATAATTCTTCCAGGAAAGTTTAATACTAAACTGCATATAAAGCACTTTTTCAAAAGTTCTCCTTATCGAATCACCATTACATCCTTGCCATTTATGATTGCAAAATTTAATACGATTTTTTTTGCGTAGCAAAACCCTAACTAAACCATCTACGTTACCTTTTCACATAATGTGTAACCATTCGCACTACTGCAATCACCTTATGTTGGAAATTACCGTGCCTTAAAACCCATTAAATAAAAAACAAAACTTAGTTGCAATCGAGTACTGGTTAGATTTAAGATTTAAATAGAGCGTTGACAGACACCAAAGCCTGAACCTTTGGACTCGGGCCAGTGTAGAGAAGGTCAAGAACGTTGTATCAAAACACTCATAAAACACACATCTCAAAACACTTTCTACACTAGCGAAACTGTCGCTAAATATAACTGATCTTTGCTAATGTGTAATCCGTTTCGTCTGAAATATTCTAATGGCCACTTGATATAATGCGCTTTCAGTAAAAAATCTCTTGATTTTAATCCGGTGAGAATTGGCTTTTCGCAGATGTTGGATATACCGGTCCAACTATATCAGTAAAACAACGTGACGTCATTTGATGACTGTCGATTTTGACACAAAGAGGGTCAAAGGCTACTTTCACTTATGATGCAACTTGGATGAGATTGTCTGAGCTACTGGGTGGACTTAGTACTTAACCATTATTTAGGCTACCGTTTAAAGTCATTACAGAGATGAATAATACGTGTTTCAACTTCAAACTTTCAAATATACCTTAGTGCATACATTACGGCTTTCAATTTGCATTACTTCCTATAATTACAAACACAATCGGTGCACAACCTCAACTATGTTTGTTCACCTTTCCACAAAACAGCACATTTTACCTATGATCTTTGTGGGCCGCAATGATCGTCTTGATCGATATGTAACTTTAAAAACATTAAATTTGCAACTCTTAACATCCACACCGTGTTTAGTCCTTCAATAACCCTTCGGTGGTTGAAACTCTTCAAAACATTTATACAGTTGAATTAGTATCACTCTGAATGGTTTCGAAGCTGTGCCTGTGGACTACAACGATTGTTGTTCTCACTCATCGGAGGTTATCAGTTTACAACTTTCACGATTTTAGACTGTGGATAACTCTTCGTTGATAATATTCAGGAAATTACACAATTGAGTCAGTATTTCACTCCGACAGTTTTCGGAGCTGTGCCTGTGGATAGATACCCGGAAGCGCGAGTCCGTCCCTCGCCCGCGGCCGTCGGAAACCGGTCGGCTTCTTTGAACTCTGAGAGACTTTCTCCGCGAGAACTCCACACTTCTGCGACGGAGACCTTTGATTTGTGATTTCTGGACTTCAAAACATAAAAGAAACATATGACGCACACTCATAAAGACAATTTTTAATCGTACAGTTTTAGTTACTCGACGCTTGTGGACAATTAACTTAAAATTAGCGAACACTTAAGCATTACTGTTGATAAGCCTCGTAATCTGCAAGTGTTAACAATACACAACAGCTGTAGACTTATCAGCTGATGTCATCCCATGTTTGACTGGATCTTCCCAATGATAACGTTTACAACTTGATAAGAGGCTGGTGTTACTCATACGTCTGGGAAGGAAGTGAAACCACTTGTGATGTTTCCCTCCCTTTTCGGAGAGAAAAACGTTAACCAATTTTCATTTATCAAATTTTGATAGTCATAAAGGATAAGATAGCGATTTTACATTAAGCTCTGTAACCACATAACGAGCGAAAGTATTCTTTGCTGTAGCTAAAATTCGCATAAAAAAGCGAAAGTTGTAGATCGTATCTTGTTGGGACCTTATGCGAAATATTTCGTTCGAAGGGTGAAAGTATCAGTCTAGAAGATGCAAAACACCCCTTCCAGTGTGTGGCTGTAGATGTCTAGAAAACACGGAACACGAAGCTGATAATTAATTAAAAGTAGAGGAATGGAAGATACGGCACCTCACATTCGATTATCGACGCGGATTCTCCGTTCCTGCGAAAGACCAGAAAATGCGGTTCCCTCCGTTCGGCGTGGCAGAAGTGTAGAGTCTAGAAGACACGAAACCACCCGATATGTGACAGTAAAAGTCTCGGATGCGGAACTCCGTGTGACAGTAGGAGATGTAAAACTCGTTCCACGGGCCGCGTTCAGCAGCGCATCGCAACCGGCGACAGTCGCTTACCCTATCTCATCTACCATCTCGGGGCTCTCCACTAAAATAACACTACATTTTATTCCGACCTGTCCCTCTCACATATATCCTCCTCGTGTTGACATTTCGAATCAGCTGTTTCATTCTAGCAGAGTGCCAGAGTGCTGCCTTGACTGGTTTTGAGTTTGATTGCTCCAGGATTGCTGCTGTCTTTGACTCCTGACTGCGCAATTTTTTGATGTTTGTTTTTAGAAAATTGTTGAAATTTTAATGTTTGTTTTCTATGGGTGTTTTTACAATATTATTACTCAAGAGGTTTGATATGTATCGGGCATTGTGATTAAAATTTTCGTGACTGATTAAACTTTACGTTTTTCTGTAAATAGAAGTGTACCATTAACGGTTCTACAACACCAGTAAACTAAGTAGTAGGAACTCCAACAAAAACTTACTCGTGATCTATTAATGCACAATACTTTGAAATGATTTAATGGACTTTAAGACTTGCATACTAAAAGTTTCAGAGGATCTAAAATTTGTTATTAGACGGTGATCATTACCATAGTTTCTGACGCACCAGATCAAAACATTTCCTCCTTTCTCGGGTGTCCTACGGCAATAACTCCCAAGTTGAACACGACCGGAGCGAGAACCAGAACCGGACTGGACTGAAACTCACTCTAATGTCTACATTCCCCGCGTCGCGCCACTGTTAGATGTCGTTTACGGACTAATTCCATAATTCAGACGACATTCCGTCTCCGATATTGGCCACATGAATGGGAAAGAGGATGAGATATGGACAGTCTCCGCTGAGTCCCACGGCCTTTGGTCCAGGGACGAGTTTAGGGAATGAGTGGGTTGATTTTCGTGCTCAGCTCACATAACTCTCAAATTTCGTCTGGTCGAAATATTTTTCGTTTACCAACGACTCATGGCCCCCACATTTAATTGTGGGCCCTGTTACCAGGATCTGGCTCGGGCCCCCCTACCAACCGGGGGGTCGGGGGGGTATGGAATACCCCCCAGCGTAGAGGGGGGGTCCGGGGCCCCCCCCCCGGGAAAATGTTGAAAATGTCATGTATTTTAGTGAGTTTTTAAGGCAATCTAGGTATTAAATTTGTGAGTGGTAAATGGCACTTTTGCAGCCTTTTTTAAGGAAGAAAAGAGTTCTTCAATGAGTGTTATAAGACTTAAAATTACAGGAATTCAGCAATTAAAACTATTATATCAATACACAAAAGCTCCATGCCTATTAATATTTTGTCCTTTTTATTTCCCTGTAAGAGGGTTTGGCTATCTTAACTGCTATTATTGTACTTTGTAATATGGAGTAGGAAAAAACTTACGTAAATTGAGTTTAACAGCTTACACCAATGAAATCATATTTTATTCAGTGACAATTTTCATCAAGAATTTTAACAATACTACATTTTTTGGGAGTGGATGCCTGAGCTGCCGAACTTGCGCCGAGTAGTCACGGAGAAAAACAAATGTGCACGAGTAATGCCGAGAATGACCGATGCTATCCAATCCATGCTTTAGTACAGTATTATACCGAGCAAATTGGGAAGAAAACTTAGGTCAAAATTATTAGGCCTACAATCTTTCATATTTTTAAAACTCCAAAAGTAAAGAATTTTTAAGTTTGTGTCAAATAACCTAGATTGCAATAATTATTAATTGAAATATTCCATACATAAAAGTGCAACCGGGACCAAATGTTGATAAAACAGGACAAATAAGCGTCCCGAGAGGATTTGTCGGGACGGACCAGTCCCCCTAAAACGGGACGTCTGGTCACCTTAGCTATGGTACATAGTACATGTCAATTTTTCAATGCTTTACAAATTTTATTTTAACTTATAACTATAAGGATTCATTCTTGAAACTATCAGTTCAATTATAAAACCAAACTTTGTTTATTATGGGGGGAATGAGGTAGGAGTGGCAAGGCGCCTGGCGGGAGGAAGGGGTAGAGGGAGTTTGTGGAGCCGGCCACTGGGGCCCGAGCTGGCTGTTCTGCTGTTGTATAGTACATACGCACCTACACACCTATAGAATTTAAATATAAACTTCCTTAGAATCAAGAATTAATACATTTTAAATTATTTAACTTTGTTTTTTGTAAAATATTTAAATATTATTTTTTTATCTTCAATTTATGAGCTGTAAAGTGATCTTCAATGGGGAAAAAATAAAAAACAAATGGGTAGGCCCGGGCCCCCTGAGGGCCCGGGCCCTGTGACTAGAGTTGCGCCAGCCCCACCCTTGTGGGGGCCATGCGAACGACTAGAAAAAGGTATTAAGTAAGAGAAAAGTGGTGATCTAGTGTAATACTAGATTGATTTAACTTTAATCACTTAATCCTGTAGACTCCTTCTGGATAGGCATCCACACCTTCTTACCCCTTTAAACATGTTGGTTGCAATTTTCGTGATGACTTCCAAGGTGCAAGACCTTCCAGTTTCACCTCTTCCATCGTTCTCAATATCTTTCTGGGTCTTCAAACTCTGTTTTACCAACAGCTTTCCATTCCAGAGAATCTTTGGCAACATCCCTATGATCCTTTTTGATCCAATTTTACCAACCCTTTTAGTCTGCTTTACTCTTCAATAATCTAATGTTGTTTCTACAGGAAAATGGCGATGGCAGGAGAACCAAACAACCTGCTACCCATGAGCCCTGGTATGTTGGCGATTGATCCAGCGGTCTACGCCAACCTTCGCAGGAAGCAGCGGCGGCTTGCCAGGGAAAACCCTGGAATTTTGGTGGCTGTTAGCAAGGGAGCGAACCAGGCGATCCTGGAGTGTCAGTGGCAGTTCAGAAACAGGAGGTGGAACTGTTCAACCAAGAACTTCCTCAGAGGGAAGAACCTCTTCGGCAAGATAGTCGATAGAGGTGAGTACTTGAAGAACATAATATCTTATCTTGTTAAGTCGGAGAAGTAGATGACTAAAATCTCTGAATCAACGATTTGAGGAGAGTTTCAAATGTTTTCAAACCACAAACTAAATCGTGGAAAACTTGATCCATTGCATGTAAAGTTATTCAAGTACTCTATTACTTTTTAGGACATAAATAACAAATGACGACCCATGATTTTTAATGATAACGCGAAGCTTCAACAACTGAAAGGTCGACAGTCGCACTGAATAGCTTCCAATACAAATAATCTGATTGTTTATGAAAGTCAACCTGTAAAATTTGTAGTAGCCTTGATTTCAAGACTCTTAAACCTTACTTTTTAACAGAAACCCTTTTTCTTCCACACAAATATACAAGCAATTTCTTCTGTTTGCCCTAACATATTTTATAACCCTCGACCTTCAGCTCGGTAGCCTCGGAAGCAAGAATCATCCAACAGAGCAGTAACATTCCAGATAGTGATCGCTGCGTTCCCTCTATACTATTATTTTTCAATTTGTCCCGCAGATAAAATCTTCCGCTCACAACGGAGGGGGCCAGTGTCAGTGAGGGGGGGGGGGTTGTCAGAGGCTCTTATCATGCAAATGACCAAGGGACACCTGGCGGACATGTTTGTTTACTGTTATCACCCCTCCAAAAAAAGTTTCAGAGACTCCCAGCGCGTGGCCGGGCAATTAATGAAGGATTACTGTGTATGTTAGCACGGAAGGGTTAATTTGTACAAACCCTGCATAGAATACTCACCCTCCCCTTCAAAGTTGGACAAGCGTAAATGATAATTTGTTGAGATAACTGTTGTGTAGACGAATTGTGCCCGGATTGTTCCCATCATTTCAATTGTGAAAGGGCTTTCGATTTGGTGCGAGAACTGAAACACTGATTATTTTCTATCAAAGGAGAATCATAGATCTCTCATAGAATATTTTGAATTGGTACATAGTATGCGTGACGGATCTCATAAATTACTATGAATTTTTTTTCTACTATAGATTTTCCAAAACTATGGTCGACATCTCAATAATATAAACCAGTTGTAGCAAATATTTTGTCCAACAGAACATAGTTTAATCAGCCACTTACAGAGTGTCAATATTCTTTCGGTCTCTTTTTGATACTATGATGCATGATGTGACACAATAACAAATACTGGAGTTTATGATAAGCTGTCATTTAAGCTTATCTAAAATTTTTGCATATTTGAACAAATCAATTTAATTTAATTTTTAATGGCTTCAAATTAAAACAAGGTTGATGTATTGTCAACGATTCTACAGGAGCAAAAACTACTTCTACTCTTGTGAAAAATGAAAACTTAGCTGTAACTTTTTTCTATCGTAATTTAATTCTAATCCTAAACCAATTTTTTCATACTAGTATTTCTATCGAACGCCATTTCCTCATATCATATCCAACCTATTTAATGTCAAAGATTCTGCAGGAACAATGAAGACTCCTGTGAAAAATGAAAAAAATTTCTGTAATTATTTTTGCATTTTAATCCAATTCTAATCGAAACCCTAAATTATTTGTTGAAACAACATATTTTTCTATCAATCACCATTCCCTCATGCCATATCCACCCTATTTAATATCAAAGATTCTGCAGGAACAAAGAAGACTCCTGTGAAAAATGGAAACATTCCTGTAATTATTTTTTAATTTTAATCCAATTTTAATCCAAACCCTAAATTATTTGTCGAACAACGTATATCTTTATCAATCACCATTTGTTGAACTCCTCCTTATCATATCCACCCAATTGCATTCAAGACTTAGGTGTGCAAGCAGGTGTGGGTGTTATGAGAATAATTTCTCACGACCAGAGGACGGAAATAAGACAAGTGGGGCGAGTCGCTGGTCAAACACAGGATTAAGAGCGTTCGTGTTTGTACTACTAAAACATCTTTATTGAAATGTTATGTCGGGTTGACCCGCAAACAAAAACACAAGACGCAAACACGCCTGCTTCCGCTCGCTCGAGTGGTCCAGGGGATTTGGGGTGGTTTTGATTTGCTCATCCTCCAACTTTGAAGGTTGTTTTGGGTTTGAAATTTAGTAAATTTGAGTAACTGAAATGACTCGATTTTTCAACTCTACTTGAAATATTTAAAACCTTGTAAAACCTTGTAAAAGCACTCTACACTCATATTTATTTCACATTGCATTAAAACATGCCCTGTTGCTCGTACCAATCGGTAGATACTTAAAACTACAAATTATTTAATTTTTAAATTAAATCCTAGAATATGTATTAGAAATGTTATATGAGAGCGTTCTTTTCAAACAACCACACCGATAGACCAATTTCGGATCTTAAAAATTATATTTGGGTTCTTTCTATGATCACCGTTTTTAATACGTAATAAGTAATTGGCAACCACTCAATCAATTACTATAATTTAATATATTTATCGACAGGACATTTAAAACAAAATCAAACTTTTTGGTATCATAAAATAATTAGTAAGAGACACTCTGAATTCTGTATTGATAGAAAAAAAACATAGGGATAATACAGCCCATACTAGGAATAGGAAAATGATTTTAATTGGAAATAAGATTAATCGTAAGGTAATCTTCCGGTGACAAATCTGTCCTAATTACAAACAGTTTCAAAACGCTTCAGTATCTCACAGCTGGTACTTTGGGATTAGCAGGATTGCAGTGTGATGGTTATGAGAAGCAGTTGGGGACGGAAATACTCAGCGATCTGTAGGTTTGTGGAACCATCACCAGATATGATGGGGTATGAAGGCCGACTGTGACAACACACTTCTGGCACACTCTGGCGCATTAGCAGCTAGTCAAAATACTCTGTAATCTATAGACATTTATTACGGGAACTGGCGCTCGGCCACGCTTTGAGTGTGAAAAAGTGTGAAACAGGAAGTGAATTTGGTTGATGTTCATTGTTGCAGGAATACATTGTTGCGTGAATCAATTGTGCATTACAGTTATTTGGTAGGCTTTTTAAATTTAAGAATGCTTCTGGGTATAATAGGCCTAGCATGGTACTGTATCTTATATATTAATAGGCAAGCATGTTTCTTTAAAACCATATTCCTCAGCGAGTGTGCATCTCAGGGAAAATCTACTGTTAGAAAGATATCTTACTGTAGATGTGCCAAACCCCTTTATAAATTAAAATGGGGTAAAAAATAAGCACAACAAATGTATTTAAAATTATAAAAAATTAACATGGGTCTTATAGGTTGCCATGCTGTTGATGAAATAACAACGAAATATTATCAAAAACCAAAACAAATAAAAGGAATTGCAAACACATGTTTTATTGAAAAGAAGTCTGTACATTTCATATTTCTGGTCGAGTATTCGACCACTGTACGACCTCTGGTTAATATTAATCTTCAAATAACACCATGAAATTGCATCCAGAAAAATAAATGGTCCTTTCGCCGAGGTTAGGGATTTATTATTTCAGGAGGTTTTGTAATTTGTAGGTTAGTTATATTTTTCTACGTAGGACGAATTATAGTGTAAGTGACAATGGCTTCTTTACCTAAACGTAGTTTTTTCACCCGTGTCAATTAATAAATGTAGACAAAGGTTATAAAATCTCTCAGGTTGTAAGTAAAACTTTACCTGTGCATTTTTTGTGTATTGTTATACAGGGTGATTTGTAGTCAGTGTAACAAAAATGTTTTGGTGTAAGTACAAAGTAAATGAAGTGTGATGATGCATATAAAAGGTTCCAAGTCTATAAATTAGCTCCCTAAAGAGTTATTTTAGGTTTAAAAAAATAACCATGTTTTTAAAATTAATACAGCAATTTCTCAATTATCTGTTAATAGTTTTGAGTAGATGATGTAATTTTCGTGTTCTACATTAAGTTTTGAATAATAATAATAGAAAATGATGGAGGATCAATTATACGCTTTTGTGGTTTGAAGACTCCAAAACATTGAGACATTTTAAACAACGATAATCGGCATGAATTAAGCAAAACTTGTATTTTGTTTCCTTATAAAATAATGCGTACAGTTAAAAGAAAACTTCATAAAATTTCCCAGGCTGTAAGTAAAAATAATTGTGTACGTGAACGATTAAATTCGGTACATTGTTAAGACAAACCTAAACACAAAACCAATCAACTCTAAATTCAAACATCGAAAAAACAATAACAGTAAAAACACATACAATTAACAAAAAACCCACAGTTTAAATAGAAAATAATCACAGTTTAAACAATATTCCCACGCTTGTGCGGTACGGAACGGTCCAAAGGTGTCGGTGTCGGCGCTGGATTATAATGACGTTAGCGTCGCAGGTAGCGGGTGCCTTAATGACAAGGCGGCGAGTGTGTGTGGTCCTCAAACAATACAAATTATACATCACATTAATTAATTAGCCCACAAATGTGTAATAAAAGTATTCACTTCCCGATGGTCCATTATGATAATAGAGGGCCGATCGACGGTCGGAAATTACAATCTACCGGGCTATTATTGTAATTTTATAACGCGCCGTTCATCAGCCCGTGGTCATCTAGGTGGAATACCAATGTTGGCAAATGTTTATATTGTGGGTGGATCGTGTGAGGTCTATTTTTCAAGGTTTTGTGTGTCCTTTTCTTGCATTTACTGTATTAGAAGAGTGTTGTTAAAAAAAAAAAAAAACTCTAATCACACTTACTAGCAGCCTATTTGTGATTTTCGATTGCTCTGGGTTAAGTTGAAAATGATCTATTGTTAACGTAATAATCATTAACTTATCACTGACGTAATTTTTCGAAGCAAAACCTGAACATAACTTTGTAATTAGTTTTTCCATATAATGAAACATTTACTATAAAAACGCAAAATCCGATCAAAACACAAAATCAAATTTAAATAATTTTCTTCTTAACTTTTTATACATATAACATTACAATGACTTAATTGAATTCACTAAAGCATCACCAACTGTAACGATAACCCCGGTTTCTGGTGGATGTAAACAAAATTGTATAATGG